ATCAATAAGGGAGAAACAAAATTAAAGATCCTTACCTCTAAATAATAATGATAAAAGCTTCAAAAAAATGATGTTGCTCAAATAAGGAAGATGAAGAAGATCAACAATGGCTGGCTATGTGCAATGCAGGCAAAAATAAGGCAGAGAATTAACTACAATGCACAATATGGGAGGAACAAGGAAGAGGAATGAATAGAGAGGAAGATCCTAACCACCACAATCCTCCTTCGATGGCAGTAAGGGGCTGAGTTCCACAGGTCACCCCCTACAACTATGACTAACAGCAACTTAATGCAAGGAAAGAAAGGAAAAATCGTGAATTTTTCTTCATCTATCATCACCCACGACTTCTACACTCATCCAGGCCAACGAAGATCAATAATGGCAAAGCGACAATTGATGAAATGAAAAAAAAGATAAGAAAAATAGTGAACCATGCTTCGTCTGTTTCGTTTCTTTGAGGATTCGCACAGCTTTTTTGATTTTGCAAAATTATATTTTTGGTGTGAAGAAATGTTGCAATTGGGGCCCCAAGGCCTGTAAAGCAATATCAGATTTATTTAGACCCTAAGTGCAATAAAGTCTATTTTTAAGGCCCTTAATGCCATTCTCTCAAATTTTTATATTCATCTCTTCTTCTTTTTCTTTATGTTTTTTTATTAATGTTTGAGCATTTTCAAACTAGGAAAATAAAATACTCGATCCAATGTCTTCCTCGTTACACCCATGAGAATTCTATCTATTTTTCTTTGCATTAGATTTTTGAAAAAAAATGTTGGGTATATTTGAATTTTTTTCATTTTTAATTTTTTTTAGTTTTTAAAAATAAAAAATATTTAAATGATTTCCAAAGCTAATTTATTTTTTGTTTTTGATGCAAGAAAGTTGAAATATCTCAAGTTAAGTTTGGAAACAAAAACAAAAAAAAATGGATTTAAACTGAGTTTGTTTGATAGTCTAAAATAGGGTTGCACAAAGATAAGGTTAAGCATTAAGCCAAGGACTAGTTTGAAAGACTTTCAAATTTGATATTTTAGTTTGTAGTCTGGTCCAATATGATAAAACTTAGGATCAAAACTGAGTTGGGCTTAGTCTACTGGGTTACTAGACCAATTCACCAATTGTTTTTCTGCTAGTAACTCCTCTATCCTTTTCATCACACCTTATCCCCTCTAACAATATCACTCTCTCCTTCTTCATTCTTCTTCTTTCTCTCTCCCTTCAATTGAAATCAAATTATCAAATCATATTGGCAAGTAACTAGAAATTTGGGCACTATCATCTACAAATCAAATTAGAACCACAAGTTAAAAAGAAAATAGAATAATGAGAAATGGCTATTGGAGTGTAGCAATAATGAAAGGTAGCGATGATGTGCCAATTTCAAAGCAAGAGTGAAGAAGAGTGACAGCTAATGCTTGAATGTAGATGGACCATATTAGTCATTAGAAGGTTGGAGCTTGAAGAGGATTGGAGGGGAGTGATACCCAAAAGTCAAAGTTGAAGGAGGAGGATGGAAGAGCATCAAGCAAAATGAAGAAAACTTTGAAGAGTGATTAAGGTGGTGTTAGGTTGGAGAATCTTCCTAAAAAATTACATATATATATTCAAAAAAAAAACTAACTACCTAAACTGGGCCAAACCAAGTGGTCTCAAATATCAATCTTGAACTCAATCTTATCTGGGAGTTCAGTTTGACTCGATTAGTCTAGTCTTTCTTTAGGCTATTTTTTAGGTCAAGTCTTGTCGAGTTGGATCAAACAAATAGGGTCTCATAATTTTTTTGCATAGCCCTAGCTTAAAGTTGTGATTTTTAAGAATTGCAATTCTAACAAAATTGCTAAAATCCAATTCTTCAATTATTACCATGGTATAATACTATAACCTTTCAAAAATGTTCTTAGAACTAAAGAGACATGTTTTTGTGATTTCGAGTATCATAACTCTATACGTAACTTTTTATAAAAAAATCACAATTTATAAATATATGACTTTTGAATAAAAGACAACTATTCATTTTAAAAATATTCTCATAATTCTATCCCACCATTTTTACAATGATCAAATACTCTCATTATTTTGAAAATCTTATGTTTTCGGTAAAGTTGTTTATAAGACTTGAACATTTACTTAAGTAGATATTGTTAGTTTCATTATATGAAAAGACATGGTTGGCAAAGGTTTAAATCAATTATCACTTGTAAATAGGTAGGCATGGCATGCTCATAATTTACTAAACTATTGTATGTCATATTTAATTGACACTTTTACTCAACCTTGTGTCCATATCCTTTCATAAAAGTTTTAAGAATCAAACTCTTATATCCTTAAAAACAGCTCCACTCTATATTCATAAAAATAAACTAGGTCAAGAACATCACCATATTGAGTACTCTAAATAAGGCCTTATATCATTGTAGTTTCGTTTTTGTTATTAAAACATAAAAAGTTTTGTTATTAAAAGTTTGCCATCAACCCCTACCATCATTGTTCACTATTACTGACCGTGTTAACCTTCGCCATTAGCAATCATCACTAATCTCCATTGACTACAATCATTAATCACTACCATTAGCTATCACTACTATTTTTTGCCAAGTATCACCACCACTTAAGTGACTAATCATCATCCACCAGTATTTCTAGTAGCTATCGATGGGCATCACTTTTGGTTATTATCGTCGACCACATTGCTAGTCACTATTGTCAGCAACCTTAACTACCACGACCATCAAATGTTGGCTACCATCATCAACTACCTTAGTCAATAATCATTATTAGCCATGGTTGACTATAACTATTATCAACCATTGTTGACTACTATTATTGATTGATTTTTTTAAATTCTAAATATAACATCCTAAATTTCAATCTAAAGAATTAATTACTAATTAGAGGTAAATTAGTAATTAATGAATTGATTATAGTTTTGGGTGATAGATTGATGTATAGTATTGTTTGGCTGATATATTAATATGATTGAATGGTGGAATGATAAGTTGGGATGAAATGAGCAAGCAACAATGAGAACTGTTTTACTGTGTCATGCGCTGTGGTATGTGCTACATGCGCCATGGTGTATGGCATAGAATTTGTATGAAGCTGATGTGTTCAGCTCGTGAAAATCAGAAGAGAAAGTGAGAAAGATGTAGTTGAGAGGAAGAGAAGAGTTCATCTCTGCTAGGACATTGACCATTCAGAGTTTAAGAGTCTGTTTCAGCCAGTGACTTATTATGTAAGTTTTGTACCACCCTGTGCTACGTTTCTATCCTAATTTCTTTAAGTTTAATAAGTAGAGAAATTAATTTAGGGAGTTTTAAGGTTTTAAAATCTTAGGAAAAGGGTTAAAAAGGACTTTCAGATGTGAAACTAAGGTTTTGCGACTGGTTTGAAGTTTAATGGTTGAGCCTCAAGGATATAGGATCGAACTAGCCTAAATGGTTATGTTAAAAAGGGTGTAAATTTTGATTAAATAAGAAAGAGAGTTGTTTTGGTTATTTCAATAACTTAAGGGCAAATGACTATAGAGAGTGGGTTGTGTGAACTCAAGAAGGGTAGGTTGAACTATTTTATGTGATGAGGGATTTGACTTACCTAAATTAGTGCCCTGTGTAAATGTTGAAAACTGAATAAGGGATGTTTATTATGTAGATTGAGCATTTAAGAAGTTACTCGTGAGAATCTGTACCATTGAAAGTTAAATGTGAGAACGGTAATCCTTGGTAGTAAGGATAAAAGGTAATTGGAGTAACCTTTTTATCTATTGATTTGTAAAATTATTTACAAGTATTTTATATTAACTGTATGTATTGTGTTTTATGAACTGATAGAGTAGCAGTATTATGAAAGAAATGTACATACATGTGTGAGTGATGTTTGTAATGTATGTGAAGAAGCAAGTGCATTTGCATCCGCGAGTATACTTTAGATTAAGGTAGGGGATCGTGGTCCCACTCTATGTAAGGTTAGGAAGTCCTGAAGGTCTTGAGTGTAGAGCTTGTTTCGCCAAGAAGGACTTAAGAGAATATCTATGAGTATACCTTAAACTAAAATAAGGGGTCATAGCCTTACTTTGTGTAAGGCTTGGAAGTCTTGACAGTCAAAGTGTTAAGTGTACTTGCTAGAAGGGACTTAAGAGATCACTCATATTAATAATATCTAGTCTGAGACAATGGTTTGGTAAGCTCTATTTTGTGTAACGCTGGAAGTCCTGATTTAAAGGTTAAACAAGCTCTGCTAGTGAGAACTGAGAGTGCATGAGTAAAGTAGATGGTCGAGTATAATTTTGTATATATGCATATCTACACTGTTTTATTGAAATGATGCTGTTTTATCTCTTATTTATAATTTTACTTATTAACTAGTATTTGGGGTTTATCCAAGTTACTAAGACATATGTCTCACTTTGTTATCTTTATAAGTGAAGAGAGTACAAGAAGGTCATGAAAGGAAATAAGGAAGGATTGGCTTCTTTTTAGTAGCAATATGACCGCCCTTAATGTAATGAATGTAAAATATTATTGTTAAATATTTGAGTTGCCAACTAGGATATATAAATATATGTAAATATGTATATATGGTTATATTGTTTGAGAACTTACTTGTGCATTTGGTATTGCATCTCGTCAAGTGTATCATAGTAGTGAATACATGGGTAGGCTTAGATGCTATTTAAGTAAATTTATGTTATGTTGTATAACTTATTCCATTAAAATATATGTGAATTGTGTTGATGAAATGTATATATGTGTGAATCTTGACCAAATAATGAGGCTTGGCCATTGTATGTGTAACACCCTCAAATTTACAGACCGATTTTTCACAAATTATTAAAACCATTATCATGGTAGAAAATTTTCTTACCACGATACATCCAAGACAATATACCACAGGTCTTAAAATATCTCAAAAAAGCAATTAGAACCATGAGGGACAGTCAGGATCCTCATGGCATGATATTTAAATTAGGTCATGAATCAAGAGAGACAAACATAATCCTCTTGGTCAAATAAATACTTTTAATAAAAAGGATTAGAGTTTACATGCTTCACAAAGAAGATATGTCCTAAGTTGGCACAAGATACATTGTATAATCCAAAATAAGAGGCAACGTAAAAGATGGTGTTTCATACACCATAGTTACACCTCTGGTGCTTTCTCGGCCGGACTCGCTCCTGTAAAAATATTAACCACGGGGAATGAGACTTAAAAGTCCCAGTAACCAAAAATTAATATGTAATGATGCATGCGATTGTAACTAATCATGCGATTGCTAAGTGGGCACACAAAACATTTAACCGAACAATATTTTCAAACAAACCGAACAAGTATTTAATTTGCATGACTGCACCTTATATCCTCCTTTCGCCATGCTCGGACGCCAAATCACCCGGCCAAAGGTGAGTTGGACCAAGCGACACGCCACTCATTGGGTCCAATGAGGGCTTACCACGTGGTAATAATTAATCGAACAGAAATTCTCATTAACACCATACATTAAAATACCCTGACAAGTCATGCATCATTCAAATATCCAAACAGAAATATATCCGAACAATAATATCTCATCATGATAAATAAAAATAAATTTTTGACCCACTTGGCAATAATTTCAAACAAGTATATAACGGTATTTATTTTCAATAATTCATAATTTTTCCAAACAATAAAACAGCACATAACCATTCACAAACACACTTATCACAACACATTAATAATGGTTACCTTGTGTCTTGAATAACAAGTTCCCCTTCACAACTCCTTTTTCACCACTATCTTTGTCAATATAATCTACATAATTATTTCACAATACTATATATTAATTTTACATTAAAATAAATAACTCTAATTTAAATAGTTAGAAAGTCTTAGATCTATAATCCATATTAACACTAATTTAAGATTTATGCCTCATTTAACTTCCCAAATTCTTTTCTAAAATTCTCATACCCTAATAAACTATTATTTTTTTTATCCTCAAATCACTTCTAGTATCACAATTTCATCCTTCTATATTCTAAAAATTCGTCCAAAAATAAATTAAAAATTTTAAAATTATCCTGAAGCCTCAAATCACCTTTCTATAACCTCAAAAATACCTATTCATACTTAAATAAATATTTAATAATCAGAGGTTCATCCCTACATCTCAGATTCCATATAAATTCAACCATATAGATCTAGATTTTAACTCAAAAATTCTTAAACATGAGTTTCAACCTCAAGAAAATATTCTATAATATTTATTATATCTCTAAGAGTTTTAACCTATATTTTTAATACATCATATCATCAGATTAACTATCCTATAGAAAAATCCTAATCAAAATATTTACTCTATCCTACAAAATAATCATATCACTAGAAAGCTAATATTATTTAGAAAATAACTATAAAATTAATTTTGTAATTAAATAAATTTTTAAATGCTAATCTAAACAGGAAAGTTAGAACATACCTGAAGAAAAAGAAAATAATCCCCCCTTGCAGAAAACGCCGAGCAACGTGAGAGGAAGAGAGAAAAATAATATAAAAATGGGATTGTGAGTCCCAAAATTATATTAAAAAAAACTATAAGTCTGAATTTAATTATTCAAACCTTTGGGCCATAAGTTGCAATTTTCTCTAAATTGCATCTTAGCCTCTCATGCTTCCTAATGCACACACCCCCTCCTTTTTATACATGAAGGCACCTCTTCTCTTCCCTCATCTAACCAATGTGGGACTTAGAAATAACAACCTTCCACCCCTTTTTTTTTATTTCTTCTACCTTCTCTTCTTTTTTTTTAACACACACATAAAAAAATTATTTATGTATTATATCTTAACTAAATATTGCTTATGTGGTTTTAAATTTAAATTTTTAAATTCATAATTAAATACCTAACCATAATATTATTTCTAAATAATCTCAAATAATATAAATTCCTATTATTATCATTTTTTCCTCAAAACCTAAATTCCACAATTTCTTTATTATATAAAATTAGGATGTTACAATTCTCCCCTCCTTTTAGAAATTTTGTCCTCAAAATTTAAAGCTGGTAAGCTTAGAAACTATGTACCTAAGCAAATAAATGTGGATAATCTCGCCTCATACTCTCCTCGGTTTCCCAAGTAGCATCACCTAGGGCTCCACCCTTCCAAATCACCTTCACGAGTCGGATGGTCTTATTGCGCAGTTGTTTGTCCTTAAAGTCCTCAATTCGCTCCGGTTCGGATCTAAAGGTCAAATTCTCTCTCAATTCTACTTCTTCAGGTTCAATAATATGGGAGGGATCCGGGTTGTACTTCTTCAATTATGATACGTGGAACACATTATGGATACCTGCAATCTGTGGAGGCAATGCAACTCTATATGCAGTAGATCCAATTCGCTCCAAGATCTCATACGGGCCCATAAATCTAGGTGTCAATTTCTTTGCCTTAATGGATCTACCAATGCCTGTCACTGGAGAAACCTTCAAAAATACATGATCTCCTACTTCAAACTCTAACGGCCGTCTCCTCTTATCAGCATAGCTCTTCTGTCGGCTCTGAGCGGTTAGCAATTTTTGCTTAATCATTGCAATCTTCTGGGTGGTCTGCTCTACAATTTCTAGACCAATGATACTCCTCTCACTTAATTATGTCCAACACAAAGGCGATCTACACTTCCTTCCATACAAGGCCTCATAAGGCGCCATCCCAATACTAGAATGATAGCTGTTATTATAAGCAAATTCAGCTAATGGCAAATGATTATCCCAACAACCTGGTAGTTTAATGGCACAAGCTCTCAACATGTCCTCCAAAGTCTGGATCGTCCTCTCTGTTTGTCCATCTGTTTGGGGGTGGTGTGCGGTGCTAAAACTCAGTCTGGTACCCATAGCCTTCTGTAGCGCACCCCAAAAGTTTGAAGTGAACCTTGGGTCACGATCTGACACAATTCTAGAGGGTATACCATGAAGTCTAACTATCTCCTTAATGTATATCTCAGCAAATTTCTCTAATGTAGAGGTAAACTTGATCGCCAAAAAGTGAGCTGATTTAGTGAGTCGGTCTACTATCACCCAAATAGCATCCTTACTCGAGGGTGTTCTTGGCAGTCCAGTGATGAAATCCATGGAAATATCATCCCATTTCTACTTTGGAATATCTAACGGTTGCAGTGTTCCAGCTGGCTTCTGATGTTCTATCTTTATCTTCTGACACGTTAAACATCTAGAAACAAATTCAGTTACATCTTTCTTCATTCCTGGCCACCACCAACCTCGCTTCAAATCATGGTACATTTTAGTTATACCAGGATGAATTGTATATTTGCTCCTATGAGCCTCTTCTAAAAGGATATTCTTCAATCTTGGATCATTAGGTACACAAACTCTACCTTTATACCTCATCACTGTGTCCTCAGAGATGGTAAAATTTGGGGCCTTACCTGCCACTATCTCCTTCCTTATATTCTTCAAGTAGTCATCACTCTGCTGTGAGACTCTGAGATCTTCCCAAAATTTGCTCTCAAAGTCTGCTACCTGGAGCGGCCATTTGATGTTCAATCACATCCACTGGAACATCATGAAAAATGTTCCACAAATGATATTCATGAACCATCAAATGTGCAGCATGAATAGTCTTCCTACTTAAGGCGTCAGCTACCACATTAGCCTTACCCGGATGGTAATGTAATTCAAAGTCATAATCCTTCAGAAATTCCATCCATCGCCGCTGCCTCATATTAAGCTCTTTCTGATCAAATAAATACTTCAGGCTCTTATGGTCACTGAAGATTTGAAACTTAGATCCATACAAGTAGTGTCTCCATATCTTCAGAGCAAACACAACTGCAGCCAACTCCAAGTCATGTGTAGGGTAATTTTCCTCGTGTAGCCTCAACTGTCTAGAGGAATAGGCAACTACTCGGTCATCTTGCATCAAAACACATCCTAAACCCTTTAAAGAAGCATCAGTGTACAGAGTGTACGGCACCACAGGGTTAGGAATAGTCAATACTGGAGTAGTGGTTAACCTCTTTTTCAATTCTTGGAAAGCAGCTTCACATTTGTTAGTCCAAATAAATGGGGCATCCTTTTTAGTCAGCTTAGTCAAGGGCATCGCAATTTGTGAAAATCCCTTAATAAAGCGACGATAATAACCTGCTAAACCTAGAAAGCTTCGTATCTCCGTCACAGATTTTGGCTGTTCCCACTTCATCACTGCATCAATCTTGCTAGGATCCACTGCAACTCCGTCTCTGGACACAACATGGCCCAAAAACTTTACTTCTTGGAGCCAAAATTCACACTTGTTTAATTTGGCATAAAGCTTATGTTCCCTCAAAACTTGCAAGACGATTCTTAAATGCTCACCATGAGCCTCCTCATCCTTTGAATAAATAAGAATGTCATCAATAAACACTACTACAAACTTATCTAAATAGGGTCGAAAGATCCTATTCATGTAATCCATGAATACCGCAGGAGCATTCGTAAGTCCAAACGGCATCACCATGAATTCATAATGCCCATATCTCGTCCGAAATGCTGTCTTAGGTATATCCTCTGCTCTCACTCTCAATTGGTGGTACCCTGACCTTAAGTCAATCTTTGAGAAAACTGCGGATCCCACAAGCTGATCCAGCAAATCATCGATTCTCGGAAGTGGATATTTGTTCTTGATGGTTACTTTGTTCAATTGTCTATAATCAATGCACAATCGGAGGCTTCCGTCCTTCTTCTTTACAAAAAGGACTGGAGATCCCCAAGGTGAAACACTCGGTCTGATGAAACCCTTCTCAAGTAGCTCTTCAATTTGCTTTTTCAGTTCCACTAACTCTGAAGGGGACATCCGATAAGGAGCCTTAGAAATTGGCCCTGTACCGGGTACCAATTCAATTGAGAACTCTACCTCGCGCTTTGGGGGTAAACCGGAGACTTCGTCTGGAAATACATCCGCAAATTCTTTGACAATTGGGATATTCTTCACGCCTTCATCAATCTCAGCTTGGATAGAGAAGAAAACCATGTAGGCCTGGCAACCCTTCTTCATACATCTATTAACTTGCACCGCCGACAAGAAAACATGATTTGAGTCTCGACTGGGGTCACTGACAAAGAAGATAAAGACACACTCCTCTCTCTACAATCTAGGATAGCACCATTTGCAGCCATCCAATTCATTCCCACAATTACATCCATACCTCTCAGTGGTAGGATAATTAAGTCCATAGTTGTTTTCCTATTTTTAAACTCGACTACTAGGTTAAGGCATGCCTTAGCAGTCCTCACAGATTCTCCCGCAGGAGTAGACACATTCATATCAAAAGGTAAAATACACACAGGCAATTCAAGGTTCTTTACACAAGTTTCAGAAATAAAAGAGTGTGTAGCACCCGAATCAAATAGTGCAACAATATCATGATGAAGGATTTTGATGTTACCTCTAATGGCATTGGGGAGTTCATGGTGTCCTGAGTAAGAGCAAACACACGGCCAGAGACAGTAGGATGTTGGGAAGGGTTCTTCATATTTGAGCCCTGGTTGTCCCCACAAAACTTTGCAATGTGACCGGGTTTCCCACAAATGTAACAGACCCAGCATTGTCCGAAATGACGACGCCCGCATTTAGTGCACTGCTGAGAGCTCGCTGTACTCGGGGCAGGGGTAGATATTGTTGGGCTCCTCTGTGACCCGTGATAACTACTATGATAGCTCCTCTGTCCTTGGCCCCTTTGAAATGGACCCTTCTGCCTTCCTTGGTTCCATGAGCTACTCGAACCCTGATGGTTTTTCTTCATAATGCCTCCGGTGGGTCGAGGGTAGGTTGGGGGTCTACTATATGAATAACCCCTCTTCTCTCTCTCGACCTCCTTCTTACTGCGAGCTACTACTTGTAATTTTATGCACATTTCATCATAATCTCGGATATCTAGATGAGCCAATTGCTCCCTCAATTCTGGTCTAGCCTTCTCCAATAAGCGCTTGGCCTTCCATTCAGAATCATCCCTATACTGCAGGTACGTGGAGTATCTAGATAACTCCTGAAACTTAGCAATGAATGTGTCCTCATCGAGGTTCCCTTGCTTAAAGGCATGGAACTCCGCTTCCTTCTCAGACCTTAACTCTGATGGAAAGTAATGCCTGAATAATTTTTCCTTGAATTCCTCCCAGGTGAGTGTAAATCATCCCTGGGCCCTGCTGTCTCCCACCAATCTCTTGCTCCTTTCACTAGGAGCACTAATGCTACTTGTACTTTCTGATTGCTGGTGCATGTGACTACTCGAAAGATGGACTCGAGTCTCTTCACCCATTCCTCTACCACGGATGGTTTAAGGTTACCATCAAACGTAGGAGGGTTAAACTTCCTAACAGTTTCCCACACATCAGTAATGGTCGGTGGGGCTCTCTGTTCCTCCTGCCTAATTTTCTCCCTTCTAGACTCATGATCTCTCGGAGTGGCAGGATGTGAGGAACTGCCTTCCCCCACATGACTCTCAACATGAGCCCTATCCCATTTTCAGTTACCTTTTGCCTCTTTAGCTCCGTCAACTCTTGTTCGTATCTTGAACCTTGTCTGTTAATGTTTTTACAAGCATTCTCAATTTCGCCAAGTCAGGCTCCTCATTTGGCAGTGGCGGTGGTAG